TCCCTTCCTCCCTTCCTCCCTTCCTCCCTTCCTCCCTTCCTCCCTTCCTCCCTTCCTTCCTTCCTTCCTTCCTTTCTTTCAGCAAGGGACCTAGTGGGAATAAAACACAAAATAATGAACTTCAGTGTGAAGAATTTTAGTTACATGGTAGAACTATTGGAAGTGTTTCAACAATAATGGATTACCCAGAATAATTAGAGAGTTCTATTTAAAGTTTTTGTTTTAAAATAGAAGTACCACAAAATGCTTTATGAGAACCCATGGACTTGAATTTTTGGTCTTCCTACACCCCTCTACCATCAATGTGATATCAGTCATTATTCTTGAAATATTTTCCATTCTACTGAACATCCTTCAAGTAGAAAACAAAATGGGAAGGCTCTTTATGTGTGTGCTTTGTTTATTACCAATTAATGCTAGCATTATATTAGAAGTCCCCTTGTTCTATTTACACAGAATTACTTCAGTGGAATTTGTATAATGTTTGAATATGCTTTGTTCTCAAACTAATTAGTTAGTGCGTAGGGAATTTAGTTTAATTGTTGAATAGACTAGTCAAATAGAATTGACTTAAAAATAATAGTGTTGGAAAAACTTTGGGCAGCAATCTAGCTGAATTCCAGTTTCAGCATAATCACTTCTACAGTGTCCCTGGCAGATGGTCATGCAACTCTACTTAAATACTTTCTTGGCTTGAACTTTTATATTATCTGGAAGCATAAGGAAATTCCATTTAGGTGACTTCAGGCTATCTCAAACCCTGTAATTCTTTGTTTTTTGAAAATGTTAACTTTGAATTTTAAGCAGTAATTGGTCCTAGCAAGTAATTTTTACGTGGTATTTAATTTACAGATTGCCCAAGGACTCCAGACACTCCCAGTAGTGACCCTCGTTGTTCTACTAGCAATAATAGATTGATGGCCTTACAAAAACAATTGGATATAGAGCTTAAAGTAAAACAAGGTGCAGAGAACATGATACAGATGTATTCAAATGGATCTTCAAAGGTAGGTACAATAAATGTAAGTGTATATAGTCAATTCTCTTTATTCGCAGATTCCATAAGTGAATTTAACTACCCAATAAAGTTTATTTTGTAACCCCAACAACAGTATTTGTGACACTTTCATAGTCATTCATGGACATGTACAGAGGAGCAATAAATATGAATTATTTGGTGTATATGTTCACAGCTAAGGTTGAACAAGGTGACACTCCGCCTTCTTGTAATCTCTTATATTGTAAACCAGAGATTTTCAACTGGTGTGCCACAAGAATTTATAAAACATGCAGTACCTGCCTATTTAGAGGCACTGACCTCTTTTCCCTTAGATTGTCAAATAAAAAGTGACAACAGCCAATATAACAATAGCTGTTTGGTGTGAATGAATAAAAATTATACCCTTTTTTTTGGTCATATTGGCAAAAAATATATTTTTGGCGTGCCGCTGAATTTTAGTAATTAGTTCATGTGTGCCAGGAGTGAAAACTGCTGCTTGTAAACAAGTACACTGTAAAACAAGTTGGAAACAAATGGTTTTAAAAATAGCTTTATTTCTGTCTAAACCAATCAAGAAATAATTTTGACTGTATGAGTAAAGGGTACACAGGAACTCTCCATTTTTTCAACTTTTCTGGAAACCATCTAAAATTATTCTAAAACAAAAAGATTACTTTAAAACATTTAGGCTCTAATGAGTTTTCCGTCACTACATACAGGTTTTAGAAAAGTACAAATGAAAAGGTAGGGCATTCTAGCATTAGTCATTGTTTGGACTAACCCTGTGGGCTCTTGGGGAATCTGGTACGGCATATACTCCTAACTGTGAATCAGGGTTGTAGGGAGCCGTTGTCACTAATGCAAATTTGTCCTTGTTACGAGGTACTGTGTGGAAGAGAAAATGTTGGGAACTACTGAAACAGATTATCATGAAGGCTCTTTCCAGTCTTAGGTTCTATACTAGTATAATTTCCAAACAGTCTTAGAAAGGTGGATTTTATCCACCTTTGTACTCTAAACTCACTTACTTCAAAGATTCTTTGCTCTGCAAATCAGTGTTTCTTCTGTATTTTAGTAGATACTTCTTAAGTAATTTCAGAGTGAAAGTTTAGGCGATTGTTTTGCTTATTTTGTTTTGAGTTTAGGAAGAATTTGAAATCGGGATGGGAGGAATCTTTGCTTGGAGCTATGCATCATACCCACCCACCCCAATGAAATGTGGGAAGATGTGGAAAAGAAAGAAATGTGTATATGTTTTAAATAAGTTTTTTTTTAATTTTTTTAATTTTTATATTAACTATCTTTTAAATTTATTTAAACTAAAAAAATAACATAGAGAAACAAACAAAAAAACAGTTTACCCATTTCTTCCACTCCCAGCCCTTCACCTCTGGCAATCAGCCATCTGTTCTCTATATCTTTGAGCTTATGGGCTCCCTCCCTCCCTCCCTCTCTCCCTTCCTCCCTTCCTTCATTTTTAGAATCCATAAATAAGAGAGATTATAAGATATTTACCTTTCTCTGTCTGACTTATTTTACTTAGCATAATGCCCTCAAGGTCCATTCATGTTGTTGAAAATGGCAAGATTTTATTCTTTTTTATGGCTGAATATTATTCCATTGTATATATGGAATATACACAATATTTTTTCCCCATTTATCCATCAATAGACACTTAGGCTATTTCTATAGCTTGGCTATTGAAAATTCTGCAGTGAAATCTGAAAATTAGATTATATGCAGTATTTCAAAAGAATTTTAAAATTATTTTTAGAGAAATACATTTGTTTATACTTGATACATTACTTATGATATGATACTTGATAGCATATTATTTCACCAACTTTGAACATTTATTATAGGGTCATAGAGTTGGCTTTTCTGTGTAGTTATTTTTAGTATTGACCTTTTTTGTTTGTTTTCTATCTTTATCAATGTTATTTTGGACTTCTTTTTAATGCAAATACTGTGTTTTTGGAACTGTGAATGCAACATATAATATGGAGTGTTATAAAATTAATATAACCCAGCTACCACCCTCTGGAATAAGGTTTTTTAATTTAGGGTTAATGGATTAGATTGAGAGATTAATGAACCTTTTGAGGTTATAGGAGAAGTAAGTGTGTATGTTGATAGATGGATGAATGAGAGGGCCATCAATTTCACAGAATTCTCAACGTGGCCTGTAAATTCCTTCCCCC